TTGCATTACTTTTCTCTTCTGTCTGAACTGGTGCATTTAATAATAACCTCATTAAGAACTCATCCCTGGGTTAAATTATGGATTGAGCTTCGTTCAGATCTAAGACACTGCCTGTATCTTGCTCACTAGGTAGAGAAGTGGTCCATTAAGCCTGTTAATTACATTTTGAGTGCCCTAAAGTCAAACAAAACTCTGTAATTTCTCAACTATTCAAAACCCCCTTTTTTTCCCCACTGAAGATCTTGTAGACTTTAACAGATTGAACCCAATTCTGTCAATGCTGGCACAATGTTTTTTTTTTTTTTCGGGATGAAAAAATGCTGACAGAGTGATAATTTGTGGGTAAACTCTTATTCTAACATTAACGATTCTATTATTATTATTTAATTATTTTAGTGATTGAAAAGTGCAGTCTTGGGGTTCAATAGATATTTATACCTCACCGGCCACTTTATTAGGTACACCTTTCTAGTACCAGGTTGGACCCCTTTTTGCCTTCAGAACTGCCTTAATCATCGTGGCATAGACTCAACAAGATATTGGAAATGTTTCTCAGAGATTTTGGTCCATAATGGCATGATAGCATCATGCAGCTGCAGCAGATTTGTCGGCTGCACGTCCATGATGCGAATCTCCCATTCCATCACATTTCAAAGGTGCTCTATTGGATTGAGATCTGGTGACTGTGGAGGCCACTTGAGTACAGTGAACTCATTGTCATGTTTAAGAAACCAGTCCGAAATGATTAACGCTTTATGACATGGTACATTATCCTGCTGGAAGTAGCCATCTGAAGATGGGTACACTATGGTCATAAAGGGATGGACATGGTCAGCAACATTACTCAGGTAGGCTGCGGCATTGACAAGGTGCTCAATTGGTAACAATGGGCCCAAAGTGTGCCAAGAAAATATCACCCACACTATTACACCACCAACAGCAGCCTAAACCATTGATGCAAGGCAGGATGGATCCATGCTTTCATGCCAAATTCTGACCCTACCATCAAAATATATAGCAGAAATCGAAACTCATCAGACCAGGCAACATTTTTCCAATCTTCTATTGTCCAATTTTGATGAGCCTGTGCGAATTGTAGCCTCAGTTTCCTGTTTACTGGATATTTTCTATTTTTTGGACCATTATCTGTAAACTCTAGAGATGGTTGAGCATAAAAAACCTAAGTAGAACAGCAGTTTCTGAAATGCTAAGACCAGCCTGCTGGGCACCAACAACCATGCCACATTCAAAGTCACTTAAATGACCTTCCTTCCTCATTCTGATGCTTGGTTTGAACTGCAGCAAATTGGCTTGACACTGTCTACATGCATAAATTGATTGAGTTGCTGCCATGTGATTGGCTGGTAAGAAACTTGTGTTGATGAGCAGTGTACTTAATAAAGTGGCCAGTGTGTGTGTGTATATGCTGATGTATATACATAATAACCTGCAGGCACACAAAAACACTGGTATGCCGTCTTAGTGAAAGATATCTTCACTCATAGATTTTGAAGGACGGCTATTTAAATACAGTCTCCAAAGGCTTTGCAGACAATAAATTCACACGCATAGGCAAAGAAACACAGATGTCAGTGCTGTGATCGGTCGAGAGCCGCCGACGCCTGCGGACACTCTAAAATCACATCAAGGGCAAAGACATTACACACTACACAGGATGGCAGTGACACATTCATTGTGTTCAAAAAAAGATGGATTTCCGGCAGAAACGCCATTTACATTAGCTCCCATTTTCCCTCTCTTGGCCTAAACTGTGCTCACAATGTTTAATTTGGCTCATAAAGACGAGCCCCGAGCGTGTGTCACACTGAGTTCTCTGGAGCAGACCATGAGATGAAGGGCTTTTTCTCTTTTTTTTTTAAATAAAAAGAGCTGGCTTCAGCTGAAGTGAAGCTGATATTGAGCTGTGATTATTATGCTGACTGAAGCCCGGGGCTAAAGATATTAGCTTTACTCTAAATACTTTCTGGCTCTCATTTCAGGCTTTTTTTGTTTTTTTTTGGGTTTCAGAAAGTACCACTAATGTCATCTTTGTTTTATCGAGTCTTCAGATTTGAGCAGAGTGGGCTGTAACATCAATTAACAAGCTCATTAGCTGTCTAATATTAATTATCATCATGATGCGCCTGTAATGAGTGATGTCCTGGGTTAGGCATGTCTTGCAAACAAGTACTCTGTGTGAATTTAACCTTCTCACCTTCTACTTGTTATGGCAACTGATGAGCAAAAACTGCCACGAGAGATTAGGATAGGTGTTTTGGGTGATATGTTGAGCATAACATACATAGACGGGGTTGAAGTTGTGATTGCTCAACATGAGCAGAAATATATTGTAATGAATAGACATAGACTATGTTTACATGGACATCACTAATCATTATGTGCCTTAATCTGAATAAGACAGTGATATGATCAAAGTCTTTACATTTACATTTTCATGATCCCGTTTTACCTGTTATAGCACATCATTCGATTAACGTCATTGCGTCTCCATGCTATCCACATTTCCTCCAGCTTCATGTAATTTCGGGTGTTTTATTTTTATTTTGTGGACTTTAACTGCAGTTTAGCACTTTCACTTTCATTCAGGAACATTTCATGCATGCCCCTATGACAAATGAGATATTGGATGCGAGAAACTGCTGGAAAAGTGTTGTTTTAATGGAATTTAATACCGCCTGCCATATGGGAAAAAAACGAGTTAAGAATTTTGTGATGCTAACTCGGTAGGTGCAGAGAATAGTGTCAAACAGCCGTGTGTGTATAGACTATCCTGTCGCAAAATGCAGGGAAAATCCTACACGACAGTAATAGTTTGATTGCTGTGTTTACATGTCTGTACTGCACTTCAATAATGCGACTAAAATCGGCATACTCCATGTCTTAATTCAATTTCTGTTTCTGTTTTAATTGGATTAAATTGATTAAAAATCACTGTTTACATGGTAGACTCTTAATCAGAGTATTGTCTTAATCGTATTAAAATCAGTTTATTGTTGTCCATGTAATCATACTCAATGTCTGCTCTCTAGTCTAAAAAAGTATTTGTTTGGATTTAAGTAAGCAAAGACTCATAGCATTGACTGAACCACTCTTAAACACATCTCAAGACATTTGGGGTTCAGGTCAACTGGTGGTCTAACCAATTGTACACATGAAGCCTCCTTTTAAAGTGTGAGGCCAGTGAATCTTTGCATTGTCATGCTGGAACATGGGCGAGGCCTTCTAACGTGGTTGTTCAAGAAATAATGAAGCTACACTTTAACTCAGAGTTAGGTAAAAAAAAAAAATAAATAAATAAAAAAAAAAAAACATATGTACAGTTGAAGTCAGAATTATTTGCCCCCCTGAAATTCTTGGCCTGTTAATTATCCTTTGGGAAATATTTAAAAACAAGAAGGTCGCTGGTTTGAGCCTCGGCTGGGTCAGTTGTCATTTCTGTGTGGAGTCTGCATGTTCTTGCATGTTCTTCTTGTAAAAACATGCTGGATAAAGCCGCAGCTCATTCCGCTGTGGCGACCCCAGATTAATAAAGGGAATAAGCTGAAAAAAGAAACTGAATGGATGAATAAATGAATGAATAAAATATTTATAGTAAAAAGCCTATATATGTGTGAGAGAGAAAAAAAAAAAAAAAAAAAAAAAATATATATATATATATATATATATATATATATATATATATATATATATATATACAGTTAAAGTCAGATTTATTAGCCTGTTTATTTTTTTTCCAGCAATTTCTGTTTAACAGAGAGAAGATTTTTTTCAACACATTTCTAAACATTATAGTTTTATTAACTTATCTCTAATAACTGATTTATTTTATCTTTGCCCTGATGACAGTAAATAATATTTTACTAGATATTTTTTAAGACTCTTCTATACAGCTTAAAGTGACATTTAAAGGCTTAGGCAGGTTAGGGTGATGATGCAAGTTATTGTACACCAATAGTTTGTTCTGTAGACTATCAAAAAAAAAAGGCCTAAAAATTTCAATCTTAAAATTGTTTTTAAAAAATTACAAAATGGCTTTTATTCTAGCCAAAGTAAAACAAATAAGAGTTTCTCTAGAAGAAAAAATATTATCAGACATACTGAGAAAAATGTCCTTGCTCTGTTAAACATCATTTAGGAAATATTTTAATAAAATTATAAGTTTCTCTGGATCTAATATTCATATAACAATTATATCATCTTGAATAAAATGTATATTTTTGATTTACTCTTATAAATTTCAGATAGTTGCACAGAAAATATTTTTTAATTTTCATTTAGTTTAAACTGAAACTACAGCTAAAACAAAACAAAAAAAAAATCTATTTCAACAAAACCTTTAAATGAACAGCAAATGACTAGGAGCAGACAGAATCTGCAGACATTTGCAGCTATTTCTTCACACGTATTTTGTAAAAAATGTGCAGTTTTAGGGAGTATCATAACTAAAAACTTAATATGTGAAAAAAAAACCTTTTATTTAATATTTACAATGGAAATCCAATTAGATCCACTTATTTGGCGAACAAAGCAAGTCTATCATATAATACATCTACCAAAAGAAAAAGAAAATATTACTTTACAAACTGTATTGTAAATAACTCAAAACAACATTTTTTTTTGAAAATAATTATAATACTGGAATTAATTTAAAAGCTGAATAAATATAACTTCACACACATTTACACAAGTAAATAAAGAGATTCAATGATGGGCTAAAAATCTGCACATTTCTGCACACTCAGATTCCATGTGGGCCTAGAAATAACTAAACAAACTATTGATAAAACTACAATCGTGACAATAGTTCTAACATGAAACTGCATATTAATATTGTGCATTCCTAATATTTACAGCAAACTTTACTTCCAATTTAGTCTTACACAAAGCCTGTTACTGTATAATTTTTAATGCATCCTTGTAAAAAATCCAAATTAGGCATTTTAATGAAAGATAAATAGCAGTGTATAGGCTTCGTTTACCTCATCCCTCGAGTGGAGCGGTTGTTGTAGTTCTGCAGCAGCTGAGGAAGACCCAACATGGCTTCAAACATTACAGCCTGAGAGCCCAGGGCCTCCACAAACAGCAGCCAATCCAAAAAGAGGAACGTTATGAAAGCGCACAGCAGTGTAAAGGCGAAGCAAAACATCAGATAATCCTCAAAAGAACTCCAGCTCCAAAAATACCGAAGGTCCAAATCTGCAGAAGAGACAAAGATAAACAGGCATAAATAAAAATGCAGGAAAATCATTTCATTTACAGACAATAAGAAATCTCCATGCATCTCTCTACAACACTAGCCAAGAAAAAAAGAGAGGACTTTAAAGCATTGCATCATTAGTATGCATATCACAATGCTCAACACTTCACACAAACTGTCTCATGCTACTGTATACCAAAAGATAAATGAGCTTTGAAACCGGTGCACCTCCGTTATATAAAGAAACCCATTTATGACAACTCAACATTTCACAACAATTTTCCTGAGAGGCGTGAAATTAATGACCAGGCTCTCCAGGGGAACACAGCCAAACATTCAGAAGAGTGGATTAAGATCTTGTACGAAATATAGACGCGAACTCAACTGTACTTGAGTCAGCAGTAAAGAAATCCATATATACTGTATACACATATGTACAGGCCACTTTATTAGGTACACCTGTTCTATTGCTTGTCAATGCATTTATCTATAGTCAGCCAATAACATGGCAACAACTTAAAGCATTTAACCCTTGTATGGTCTTCAGGTCTGTGAAAAATAAAAATTGAGCCACTGTCGCCTCACAGCAAGGAGGACACTGGTTCGAGTCCTGGCTGGATCAGTTCGCATTTCTATGTGGAGTTTGCATGTTCTCCTCGTGCTTGTGTGGGTTTCCTCTGGGTGCTCCAGTTTCCCCTACAGTCAAAAGACATGCGCCAAAGGTGAATTGGATTGGCCGTATAGTGTGTGTGTATGTGTGTGTGAATGAGAGAGTGTATGCCCAGTTTTCCCAGTATTGGGTTGCGACTGGAAGGGCATCCACTGCGTAAAACATATGCTGGAATAGATGGTGGTTCATTCCACTGTGGCGAGCCCTGATAAATAAAGGACTAAGTCACAGAAAAATGAATGAATTAAATGTATTCATTATAAAACTCAGAATACATTTTTGATGAAAACTTATTGTGCACCTGTTACCCCGCCGGTCCTACACCACCCAACCCGCTCCAAGCTGAGATCGAACTGGCAACCTTCTGCATGGGAGTCAGTTGCTCTAACAAGGAGGCTAAAGACCTAGAGCACCTTTAGAGGTCAGAGGAGTGAGGTTTACCTGCACAGCACTTCACTAGCTGGCCTCCGTTACACACCCTCCTACAGATTTACATTACATAGTGGGTCTAGTGGACCCAAACATCCTCCAGGTTAAAATAAGTGTCAAAACTCTTTGTGTGCACCCAATGTGGACAGTATACAAAAAATAGGGATCAAGTGCAAAAAGTACATCCTGTTCCAAAACAAAACTCTGCCCCTCGTGTGTTGTACAAGCTGGCATGTAAGGCAATATGTTCAATGGGACTGATAGGGCAAAAAACGAGAAGCACTTTAATTCATGTGTTCTAACAAAGGTAATGAAAATATTAGGCTTAAATAACTTTTATATTGCTTGAAATTGGGATGAAGTAAACATCTGTTGAATATTTGAACATAAAGAAGTAATTTGTTGAATTAACCCAAAAATGGAGCAGTTCCTCCAGACCCATTAACACTGGCTGAGTTATAAATTTGAACACCACACAAGGGTTAAACTTAGACGTGGTCAAGCCATTATGCTGAAGTTCAAACTGAGCATCAGTATTGGGGAACAAAGATGAATTCCAAATGATTTACTCACAATGTTCAAATTGAAAACAATCTGAGCAATATCTAAAGCCATTTTCCCAGTGATGGGTTGCAGCTGGAAGGGCATCCATTGCGTAGAACATATGCTGGATAAGTTGGCGGTTCATTCAACTGTGGCAACCCCAGATTAGAAGCCATGTCATTTGTAAAGGTTGTCAGTGCCAGCTGAAATCCTCGAGCAATGTGACAAAATTGTTTATTTTGTTTATGTGATTTGTCAGTTTTCTTTTGTGTTGTTTATTAGTATAAAAAAAAAATTACTGAATCAAATTCAAAATCACACAAGCTTTTGAGTTTTCTGTACACAAAAGGCTTTACTTCAATGATTAACACATTAACAAAACCAAAAAACATAATTTGTGTTTTCATAACTGCATATTTAATGTTGTACTACAGTTTTATTCAGATTTTTATCTTGCTCTGTTCTGTAAAAAATATAATTATGACTTTATTTTCTTTAATAGCAATTTTTGACTTGTATAGCATTTTTTAAATTTATGCAAACAATGTAAACTTTGAAAAAATCCTCCAAATGACTTAAGACATTTTAAATAATTTAATTGATAGTATAAATATTTTTTTTTTACTTACACTTAATGAATAACCAGTCAATACCATTACCATGTCATTGGTAATGGTTAATAACCAGTCAATATAACCACCGCTAATTGAACTCTGCATTTTATAATAGTTCATTTGTCTATAAGCACAACAGTTGTTGTAGAGCAATAGGCAACAAATCTAATCTTTTCTGAATATGCTATGCTAAAATGAAAACAAGCATGGATATTGCCTCATCAACACTGGACAACGGAAAACTGGAAAAGGTTTGCCTGGTCTTAGAAGGCTCAATTTCTACTCTAACATTTGATTACACATTTAGTGCATGCATGTTCTCCCTGTGTTCATTGGCTTCCTCTGGGTGCTCTGGTTTCCGACACAGTCCAAAGACATGCGCTATAGGCAAATTGGGCAAACAAAATCAGCCCTAGTGTTTGAGTGTGTGTGAATACGAGAGTGTATGGTGTTTCCCAGTACTGGGTTGCAGCTAGAAGGGCATCCGCTGCATAAAACATATGCTGGAAAAGCTGACGGTTCATTCCCCCCTGATAAATAAGAGACTAAGCCAAAGGAAAATGAATGAATAAATGAATGAACGAATGAATTAAATTTAGGGCAATCAACCAGAAAGAATTCATTCATCAACAGCTCAGGCTGCCAGCAACATAATGGTGTAAGGGAGATTTTCTTGGCACATTTTGGGCACTTTAGTACCAATTATGCATTGTGTCATAGCCTGTACTTAACCGTTGACCATGTTCATCTCTTTATGACCACAATATATTCCTTGATCACACAACATTAAGAGCTGCTTCTGTAGACACCATCGTACAACCTTGGGTCATTGACTTGCCTATCCCTGACACTTTTGCAAAACACCCAAAAAAGGTACATATATAAATCTGAGCAGATTGCAGCAGATATTAACCCTAGTCATAATGAAACACAGACAGCTTGAATTACTTTTCTCTTCTGTCTGAAAAGGTGTATTTAATGTATCAACACAAAGCTCAAAGTCAAAACAACTGAAATTGGTTTCTTGAACATGTTACATGAAAATGAGTTTACATACTTAAATGGCCTTTATAGTACCCAGGTCTCAATCCAATCAAGTGTGTGATGCTCTCATGTCAATATTGACCAAAATCTCAGAGAAAGTTTTCCAGCATCTGGATAAATCTTCAGATTTAAGTCCAACCTCGATGATAATTTGACAACTTTTATCCAAATAAACAGTAAGATACAGCTGAAGTCAGAATTATTAGCCCCCCTGAATTATCAGCCACGCGGTATTTAAACTTACAGTGTAATTCACATGTTTCACCACCTACATGATAATAATAAATAATACGTTTTTTTTATACTAGACAACACTTGATGTTTCTATCTCTGTCAGTATTTAGAGTTAAAACAAGTACATTCTCTAAGTGCTTCTGTCACGGTGTTTAATCCTTTCTGTGCCAACTTATGGTATAGTTAATGCCACACAAACTGTAAAGTGTTTAATATGGGTAGTTCATTTTAAATAAAAATAGTGAAATGTTCGATAAGAGTTACATTTTTTTATGAAGGAAACAGCTGTGCTGATGAGGTGAACGCCGAGAAAACCAGACTGCATGACATTAAGATGGTTATCTATATCGAAGAACTGAAAATAAGCAGATATTATAACAATTTATCAATAAACTAACACCTCCTTCTCTCGCTGTGCATGGCTGTGGTTTGCTGATCAAAAGAAAAACAAAAGATGGGGAGGAGCTGAATTCTGTTGCCGTTTTCATATCAAATTTAAAGCTGACTGAGGCGATTATTTAGTGCAGGGGACACCAACCCTGTTCCTGGAGAACTATCTTTCTGCAGAATTCAGTCCCAACCCTGATCAAACACACCTGAACCAATTAATAGTCCCTAAAGCAGCACTTGATAATTACAAACAGGTGTGTTTGGTCAGGGTTGCAACTAAAATGTGCAGGAAGGTAGCTCTCCAGGAACAGGATTGGTGACCCCTGATTTAGTGTATACAGTTTATGAGCTAATTGCAAAAGTTTCAGGGGGGCTGAGTAGAAATATAGAGGGGCTACAGCCCTACTTAAATAGGCCTAGCAACGCCCATGATTCAGCTTAAAGTGCAAATTAAAGGCTTAACTAGGTTAGTTAGGCAAGTTAAAATAATTAGGCAAATCATCGAATAACAATGGTAACAAATAGTTTTATAGACAATCATAAAAAAAATACTGCTTGAGAGGGCAAATAATATTAACCTTGAAATGGTTTTTAAAAATAAAAATTGCTTTTATTCTAGCCTTAATAAAACAAATAAGACTTTCCACAGAGGAAAAAATATATAGAAAATACTGTGAAAATTTCCTTCCTTTGTTAAACATCATTTAGTAAATATTTGGGATAAGCACTAATAATCCTGACTTAAACTGTAGATTCTAGTGATAACCTTTACATATAAAGTCAAAATCAACAACAAACATACAGTAGAGCATGTTTTGTCCAGTCCGTCAAGAATCAGTGAAGACACAAACAAAGCAGGCTCGGTACAGTTTAGACAGGCTTCTTTGTCGCACTGTTCTCTACATTAGTGACCACGCGCTGCATATAAGACATCCTGACATGATCAACGAGTACCTGTCTCTCCCCAATACTGATGGCACAGGATCCTGAAATGAGCTGACATCAGCTCCAGAGAATTGATAGCTAAATAATAGCCCTATTTGTTACAGCTCAGACCCGAGTGTCACGTTGAGTG